ACAACAAGTGGTGTTGGTTCTTTGAGGATGAGGAAAACATTTTGAGGAATATGTAAAAGTGATGCAACCAATTGAGGTGGGAATAAAAAAGGAAGGAATGGGCCCTGACTGGTTTGGCCGAGTGGATAGAGCGTCGGCCTGCAGACTCAAGGGTCCCAAGTTCGATTCTGGTCAAGGGCATGTACCTTGGTTGTGGGCACATACCCAGTGGGGAGTGTGCAGGAGGCAGCTGGTCGATGTTTCTGGCTCTCTATCCCTCTCCTTCCTCTCTGTAAAAAATCAATAAAATATATATTTAAAAAAAAAGGAATGGGTTTCTGGGAAGAAGGTGGAAAACCAAGATGAGTTTGGTCTTTGGATGTGTTGAGTTTCAGTGTACTGTGGGACATCTGTAATGACAAGGAAAGCGATGTGTTCTTATAAATGGAATAGCTTTATTCTCTGTTCCTCATGAAATTTTCAACCACTTTTATTAGCTAGCAATGAAATGACTCAAACATTCCTAACATCCCTTTATTATGCTGTGGTTAGTATTTCTCTGACCCTTAAACCTTGTTGCCTTGTTTTGTCAGCGCTTTGGGAATTTCATTTTGCCACCTTCTCACCCTATGTCTAAAGCACCCCCTGTACCCAAGTTGTTGCTTGGCTCAGATCACAGTAACAGGATTATCAAAAATTTGTTGAAAGAAAAAGTGGCAGGAACTGGCATATCTTAGAGGCTGAGGCCACTGCTGACTCCTTGAGATCTTGAGCTAATCTCTTCTGTGGGCTTCAGTTTCCTCACTTACAGAGTAAGGAGATATAGATGATTGTGGAGAGCGTCTACAGTGTTTGGACAGGTTCAAGCCTCGGACTAATGAGAGGGCACAGTCCTCTCGTGGCCACGTGTGAGTCCCAGCTTGGAGGGCAGAGCCCTCCCAGCACAATTATAACCAACAGCTATAGTTGTAAGCTTGAACCTATGGTCCGAACACGTGGCCCATGTGTCTGAGTAATATGGGCTTGATAGCGTTCAGGTGCATGTAGTTGAGTAGGATTGAAACCTTCTTGACCACACCCTTACTTTGCCTCGTGACACCCATGGCGCTGTCGCTAGCTCTCCATCAGAGAGGACAGTGTCCCACCCAGACCCAGCTTTTATTCTCTTGTCTGTCTGTTCTCAATCCTTCACTGCCCCCTCTCAGGGTCACCGAACCTGGCTGAGCTGGCACGGCACATAAGGCGCCCAATGTGGGGCTGAGTATGCCATGGGAAACAACTGGTGGCCATATTTTTAAAATTCCTCATACTAGAGATTTTTAACCAGGAACAAGAGAAAACTGCTAATTTGCTTAAGACTAAACTATATTTATTCAGCCACACCTAATTCCCACCCACTGGAAGGACCAAGTGAGTCCCCTTGCAATGGAACCAAACCCTAATTTTCAGAATCCAATTAAAAATTTGCTTCAAGTACTTAGGATCAAATGGTTGATCCTAACATCTCCTGTTCTAGTTGGAGCAGCTTGCTTCATTTGATTTTTATTGAAAACAGTGTTTTGTATTAGAAGCAGCATGTGTGACTATATGAGAATACAGAAAGCCAAAGGGTTATATTTGTAGCTTTTAGGTACCATTATTTTTCTTGATGTCTCTGGGACTTATCCCAGAGTTGGAAATATTGACTTTGTTTTCAAAGCCTTTTTCAATATAAAAATGATGGGTAGAAATAGAGGGTGCCAAGTACTTTCATTCTTTTTATCCAGACTTATCTTGATTCAGTGTCTCCCCATGTTTATGACACCTGTATGATGTTAAAGAGAGGGTGGAAAACAATGGGAAGAAAGTTTCTGATTAGCTTTCCTAGGGATTCCATCCCCAATGTATCCTTTCTCAGTCCCAGATTGCCTATTTCAGAGTTGCACTGCCAAAGACATAGTCTTAGAGGACAGATTTAGTCATTAACCAAATAAATATTTAAGTACACACTTATTTAAAGATAGTTTCAGATGCTTTGGATATAAAAATACCAAAGTAAGTTCATCAAGGCATCTGCTGTTGTGGAACTTCAATGTGAAGGCTGGGGTAGCTTAAACACTTAAAGTGTGGCAGTAGGCCAGCAGCACGGGCATCACCTAGGAGCTTGTTAGAAATGTAGAATGTCCAGAATTTCTGGATCAAATCTGCATTTTAACAAGGTCTTCAGATTATGCATAGGCACAGAGAAGTCCTAGGAGCAATGGGCTAGAGTACAAAGTGAGATGTTCTATGAGAATTCAGGATAATTAATACTTTTTTTAGCACTTTACATAAAATTACCTTGTTGAATGTTTGTAACTCCATGAAGTTGGTACTGTTATCCTTATTTGATAGGCAAAAGCTTTAGAGTTGAAGGGTCTTGCCTAGCCAATAAAAACTAGAAAGAGGTGGAACCTAGTTTCCAATCTCTTCTGACTGGATGAATATCAGAGAGGGGTACTTGCATGCAGGAAGTAAGATGTAAAGTTGCAGGTGGTAAAGTACCCAAAATACCAAAGCTCTCAGTGTATTGTTTGGGAAAGTGAATAGTAGGAAATAAAGTTTGAAGTGTAAGTAAAAGCCAGGTTCTGTAACTCCAACTCCAGCCATATGTCCAGTATTGACATTTCCTCATGTGAGGGAGATGGAAAACTGGTGCGTATTATTTCTGTAACATGTAACCTGTGAAAAGGTCAACTTAAAGAATCTAAAAGAAAAATTGCTCCGTCCCCTCTCCTCCCCACCTCCCACCCCACAGTAGATTGATGCCTTCTGGCTTTGTACTACAGATTCGGGGCAACACTCCTCTTACATAAAGCTGAGTCTAGAAAGAGTATCTGCAGGAATAGCTTGTGACAGACTGCATTTAGAGTCTGAACCACTTTGAGGAAGGTAACCAGGATAGTCACATTTAATCTGTCAACCTGTATTTGGTACGTTTAGCTTGGAAAAGAAAAGACAGGAGGCACAGGAAAGCTATAGCCAAATATTTACGAAGCACATACCATCACTAGCTCCTGAGGATAAGAGTATTGAACATGACATGGTGAGTTTCCTGCATCACGGAGATTATAGTCTAGTAAGGAAGATAGACATTAAATGAAATACTGAAAGTGGTTAAGTGCTGCAATAGAAGCTTTGCCTGTGATGGGAACCAAAAAGAGGACAGGAAAAGCTTCTTTGAGGATGTGGTGTTTAAACAGAAATTCAAAGAATTAATAGGAGTTAGCCAGAGAGGATAATCCAATTATATGCAAAGGTTTTGTGGTGCAACAGCTTGGTATGGTAGTGACATTTGAAGTCTACTTGAAAGAAAAAGTGGGAAAGGGAAAGGAGAGGGTTGGATAGGTAAGCAGGAACCAAGTATTTTAGTGCCTTATAACCCATGTTCTAGATTTCAGATTTTGTTTGAAAGTCAACCTATTGAAGGCTCAAAAGTAAACCTTCCATATGTCATAAGTTGCCACGTGTAAGTAAAAAAAGCCCTAATAGGGCATAGGCATGATGTTGAAGACTACTAAATAGACACAACCGTGTGATGGCTGGTTGGCTAGGTGAAAGGATGACACTAAAGGTGGGCTGAGATAAATTCTTGGCCATTGGAGTTGTTCAGGTATCCAAGTGGGAAATCAAACAAATGGGGTTTTTGGCCTAGATTCTCTTTGAGACATATATTATTGAGATTTACAATACCTTGTATTTGATCATAAATATCACTACAAATAATAGTTGCCCTTATCTATATGTATAGCATGGTACTTTTACACAAATTATCAAATTCTCATTACAGCTCCTCAATTTAGGAATGACTCCCACTTTACAAATGAAGAATTGAGTCCCAGATTAATAACTTTCCCAAGGTAACAAGGTTAGTGAATAGTTGAACCCAGATCCATTATACTCTCAAAGACCTCATAACAGCTACTAGTATAAACCAAGTTTCTATACAAACTAGTACACAAATATGGTAATTAATAGGCATTTGATGAATGAACAATTTAGTCTGGAATAGATATCTGGAATTCTTCTAGGGGGACTTTGCATTCACTTAAAAATACTTTAATATGTGCTATGTGCCAAGCACTAGGGATAAAGTAGTCAATAAAATGGACATGGTCCCTGTCTTTCTTGAATTTACAATAGATGAGAAAAGCCTGTATTACACCAAAAAATGACACAAATCACTATAGTTGTGTTAAGTGCTTTGAAAGTAAAGTATTAGGTGCATTGTAACGGGGATCTAATTGAGTGTGGGGAGTCTTACATTATTCAGCTGTCACATCCCTATCTTTCTCCAAAAAGTTTCTGGTTATCATTCTCTGGTTTCTTACCTATGTTTTTAACCTGTTATAGTCAAATCCCAAGCCTTTTCTGAGTAACTTTAGCCCTTACTAAAAAGGATTCTGGCTACAGTCAATTGCTAGCAGACTATGGGTTTAACATCCATAGCAGTCACTCCTAAATTACTTCTCCCTGACACAAGTACTATATTTCCAACAGCATTGTAGACTCCATTTTCTGGAAGTGTCTCTGACACCTTAAGCAACTTATCATACCTCCTCTTCCTGGAAGAACAAAACAGTTATTCCTTCCCCACCCAGCTTCCCTATTCCTGTTGTTTCAGTCAACCACAATGAACAACTTGGAGTAGCACCAGACAATATTTTCTAAAAATCATTCGTCATAACTGATCCTTTCTTTCCTTATTGTGCCCCTCCCCACTTGGTGCAAACTCTCTTGTATTCTTGCTGTGTGTGAACTATCTTTTTCCATGTAAGCTGTTGGGGAACAGATCATACATTTTATATTTTCATATCGCCTTGCTGAGAAGATAGGTACTAATCAGTAAATAACTGATTTGATGACACACCAAATAGATTATAGTGCAACATGCTGTTTACAAAAGTGTTTAGAAAATGATACCATTTTTTCCCCTAATATAAATTGTTGAGGTGGAATGCCCTTCTGTAAAAAGATAAGCAAAATGAGGATCAAATGTGAAAAGTCTTCCTCAAGATCACAATTTCTTAATTATAACACATGAAAAAAGGGGATGCTACAAAATGATCCAGTTATGATCTCTCTCCACATTTACCAGGTAAACTATTCACTCTTTAGTAAAGCCCTCTCTAAATCCTGTCTTCTCAGATGTCCACGTAGCCTCAATTGTCTCATTTTTCATGTGAAAATATTGTGCATTCAATGGATTGTTGGAAATTATCCAAACACTGTCCAAGAAGGTAACCACTAGCCACACATGGTTACTTAAATTTAATTAAAATTAAATAAAATGTAAAATTCAGTTCCTCTGCCACAGTATACACATTTCAAGTGACTAGTAGCTACCATATTGGACAGGATGTATTTCCATCTTTGTAGAAAGTTCTATTGGACAGTGCTGTGCTAGAGCTAGGACTTGTCAAGATCAAAGAAAACAATATGACCAAACTGAAAACGCAGGCCAGTCAGTACCTGGTTGGTTTTGAGTGAGAAGGTTCACTGGGTGAGTGGGAAGCAAGCTGATTTTTGGGACGGTGACATCACAAACCACAGCTCACAGGGGCTCTAGAACACCTGGGCTCCCAGGCCACTTTCCTTAACTCATATCTAGGGTCCTGAAGACTCTGAACATGTAGCTCTGGAGCTGCTGTCTTATTAAAATGCCAACATCTTCACCTTCATCTTCTATCTGGGACATCATAGATTATGCCTCTTTGAGCTCAATATGGAATTGGCTCCAAGCAACTTTTCTGGGACAGACTAGTGTGGCTCAGCAAACAAATTTGGGGCTAATAGATAATCTTGCTCCAGTTCTGCAAGCTGCCCTCGGGATTTTCTTTCTTATTTTCTTGGCAGTAGGACTATACGCCTTATGGAAACGAAGTGTTCGGTCAATTCAGGTTATACTCTTTTGTTAGAGAAATTTAAATAGTTATACATTGAAAGTTGATTCTCTCCCCATATTGCTACCATTCTGTCTTAACACCATGCAGATGGGCAAGGGTGAACTCGTCTCTGAAGGTTTTTTAGTTGGTTGAAACTAAATTGTCCTTAAAAACTTCCCCCAATTAGGTTTTGAGCATAAAAATGCTTTCTCACAATTGTCTTTGGCTTGTCTTATAGCAGTGGTTCTAAACCTTCCTAATGCTGCGACCCTTTAATACAGTTCCTCATGTTGTGGTGACCCCCAACCATAACATTATTTTTGTTGCTACTTCATAACTGTAATTTTGCTACTGTTATGAATCATAATGTAAATATCTGATATGCAGGATGTATTTTCATTGTTACAAATTGAACATAATTAAAGCATAGTGATTAATCACAAAAACAATATGTAATTATATATGTGTTTTCCGATGGTCTTAGGCGACCCCTGTGAAAGGGTCATTAGACCCCCAAAGGGGTCGTGACCCACAGGTTGAGAACCCCTGTCTTATAGTAAAGTAGATCAAACAAGTTCACAACCTGAAAAGGCAGCCTTACCCCCAAATTTATTTATTTATTTATAAATGTTTTTATTGGTTTCAGAGAGTAAGGGAGAAGGAGAGATAGAAACATCAATGATGATCAAGAATCATTGATTGGCTGCCCTCTGCATGACCCCCACTGGGGACTGAGCCCACAGCCCAGTCATGTGCACTGACCTAGAATGGAACTGTTATCACCTGGTTCAAACACTGAGCAACACCGACCGGGCACCCCCACATTTATTTGATCACTGATTCATCTTTGAGTATCTACTATGTGCCAGGCGTCATTCAGGGTACCTTTTCTAGAATAGGCACCGCGAGTATGACTAGGATCTTGGGTTCTTACTGTGCCATTGCTTTGTAACTGATGAGGCATGAATAGTCAGTCATTTAGTCATCATGGTGTTTTCATTATTTCCTTGTTTTAACAAGATAGGGTTCCATAAGTATACAGTGGCTCTTTTTGGTAAGAGGAGTATAATTGGCTGGGATTATGAGAAACATTTAGGATTTTACATATTTCTGTGTAATCATCTAAAATAATACCTATATTTACAATATAGTCAAAATGCTTTGAGAGTCCCAACAATTTCATGATATGAAGTTATTTTCATATGGAAAACAAAAATGAGGTGAACTGAGGTTCAGTGGAAATGAAAGGAGATAGGTTTTAAAAAAGACTGTCTTAAAGAGTGACTGGTTTACTTGGCAAATGCTAAAAGAAATTATTACCAAATCATTTTACAGCATGTCACTACTGTTGAGGAAACATGGTCATATGCATTCTCTTAATCTTTCAAACCCTGCATGGTAGGCAGGGCAGGGATTATCATCTCAATTTTATAGGTGAGGAAATTTGGTTATCACCTACCCACGTTGACAGAGACCGGAAAAGCTGAGATTTGAACCCAACTTTTAGGATTCAAATTCAATTCTTTTCCAAAATCTCATTTAACATAAACTGACTTAAATCCCAATATGGATGTGTATGTATATACATATTCACATACACACATTATAATCAGATAATACAAGGCAAAAAACCAAACTCTATCTGTAGTTCTGAGTTCTGTTCTTGTATGGTTAATGCTTAGTTAAATCAGAAAGACGAATTTACAGCCCTCCACAAACTCAGCCAAGAAAAAGCGGTAGTGTAACAGAATGGTAAATAGCACGGGCGCTGAAGTCGACTGCTGGGGCTTAAATTTTGGTTCCACCACTTGCTGTGTGACCAAGAGCAATCACTTAGCCTCTAAGCCCATTTCCTTAACTGTAAGATGGGTTTGCTAACAGTGCCTTCCTCAGGGTTGTTGTGAGGATTGAAGGAGTTACTACTGTATATATAAAGCTTAGCACATAAATATCCAATAAGCAAGTAGTGCTGGTATGATAAGGAAAAAAGATTGTTTGTTTGTTTTTTATTCTGGCAGGAATCTGTCTTGGTACATTAAAAGTTTTTGCCATGACCAGGAAATCCAGTTTTTTAGACCACTGTGTCCTGAATATACATGTAAGTCTGAATTCCTGGATTCCAGTACTGGCTCTACCATTTCCAAGTATATGACCTTGGACAATGACAGGGTCCAAAATGGAAGGTAACAAAATGGCTATTCAGTTGTGTGTTTTTGTTTGTTTTTTGTTTTTTACATAATTAGGTCATGCACAGGCAAGGGAACTCCTAGCAAAGAGCCCTGCATGTGGCAAACTTTCGGCAAAGGGTATCTATTATTGTAATCTTTATTAAGTAAATGCAAATAATAATCCCTGACCTGCCTACTACTATATTTTGTGGTGAAAATCAAAAGATGAAATAGGGGCAAAGATGTTTTGTTAAACAAGGCTTGGAAAAGGAATGAGGGGTTATTGTTACCACTCAGTTTTTGTTTTATTCTGTATCTATAGTAAACTGGCATTTCACGTGAATAAACAAGTAACGTTCAACTTGTGTTGTTTTATTTTAGAGTCTGTTGTTGTTTGTAATCACACTCTACAGACTTTACAAGAAGGGCTCAGAGTTTTTGGAGGCTTTGCTGGTCAACCCAGAAGGGATTCATCTCCCAATTCAAGACAAAAGTATCCTCCTGTCCTTGGGTCTGCAAGAGAAAATTTTGAAACAACTTCAGATGGTGGAAAGCAAAGTGAAGAACCTGGAGGGGATGATTATTTCTCAAAAACCTGCCACGAAGAGGGATTGCTCCTCTGAGCCCTACTGCAGCTGCTCCGACTGCCAGAGTCCCTTGCCCACATCAGGGTTTACTTCCACATCTGAAATCTGATGGACTCCAATCTTTTCCAGACAAGCACCGTTTCCCTTGTGTGCAGTGGTGTACCAATAAAGGTAGAGAACTGTATTGAAATTACCCTACAAGGCCTGGCTTTCTATCAGTAGGGCCCAACTTTTTCTTGTGTGTTGGGGTAATATTGGGAAGGGTGGTGGTTTAAAATGTCTCTGGGATTGTGGTGCCCGCTCAGCAGGCTGGAGACCCGAATCTAGGGATTGGGAAAAGAAGGGAGAGGGGTCATGGATATGGCCTTCAGTTCCATACCAAGGAGGTTGGGTTGAATATAATAAACAGCAAGAATGTGCCATTGGAGGGCGATGCTGTGGACTGTCCTGTAGAGGTAGGCTGGCCCTTGTGCTGGTCTTGGGTATAAATGAACTATTTGGCCCAGGAGTTTCCCTGCATTAATTACTCAGAAGTGGGCAAGGGTGGGGGTGGACATAAAGGAGACTGTTTAACTTTATCCACCTTTTGCTGATACTTCCTCTGTGCTGAGCAGTGTGATAATTCTTGGGAATCTGTCCCGAGTGTTTCAGGAGCTCTCGGTTTGGCTAGCTGGACAGGTAATTTCAGAACTTGACTTTAGGGGAACTCTCATATGAATTCAGTTTGGCAGCGCCTTGGCACACTCAGTTGGTTAAAGCATCATCCCAATGTGTCAAGGTTGCAGGTTTGGTCCCGGTCAGGGCACATACAAGGATCAACACTATGATACAATTTTCACAAGTATGGGGAGATGGTAGCTAATCTTTATTGGGCAAGCCAGGCACATTGCTAAGATATTTACATGATTCTTCTTATTTGGTCCTCACAATATGAGGAAGCAAATACTATTATTCTAATTTTACTGATTGGAAACTGATAGAGAGGTTAAGCAACTTGCTAACATATGGTACAGCTATGACCAGGACTCAAGCAGCCTGACTAAATGTGCACTCTTTAGCCACAAAGTTTGGAGCTTCTGTGAGATTTTGGACCAACTGCAGCAGGCTGGCTGGACCTAGACAGATGAAGACAAGAAGACTGAAGAGGGCATAGCAATGACAGACCAAGGGAGAATTTTGAAAAAGTGTTTATCCCCTCATATTTTAAGTTAATATCTAAAAGTTTCCATCATTCATTTAAATAGTTGCAATGGAGCCCTAGCTGGTTTGGCTCAGTGGATAGAGCGCGGGCCTGTGGATCGAAGGGTCCCGGGTTCGATTCCGGTCAAGGGCACGTATCTCAGTTGCAGGCTCCTATCAGGCCTAGGCCCTGGTCGGACCTCATGCAGGAGGCAACCAATCAATGTGTTTCTCTCACAGTGGTATTTCTGTCTTTCCTCTCTCTTCTCTCTCTAAAAATCAATGGAAAATATCCCCGATTAAAAAAAAAGTAGTTGTAATGCATGTAAATTCTGGCAAATTATAAATAATGACAATTTAAGATAAAATTGTAAAATTACTTTTTATAATGTATCCAACAGAATCCACATAACAACTGAATAACCACTATCATCCATTTAAAATTACACAAATAAGCTCTTTAATATTTGTCATTTCTACATTTTCTTTTATCATTTCTAATTTACATTTATATTCCACTTCCCCATTAAATGTTATCTGAATGTAACTTTTTGTTAGTAAAACCTTTAATTGATCCTTGTTTGAGATAAAAATATGTACCTATTAGGAGTAGAATTTTTTTAATGTTCCTGTAATTGTATGGGTCTATGTATTAGAATTCTTTGAATTGACTAATCATTATAATGATCATTACAATTAATGGTTAAAAATCTGTGCAAAATGATACGATTACATTTAATACATAAACATAAAATGTAAAACACTACTGGAAAAGTATTTCTCAGTGAGATGGATGGGGCTTCCTCACCAATTAATTCATGTGTCTGAATGACTACTTATTACTAATAGATTCATTTTTTTGTTTTTGTAGATATAGTGCTGAGAAATATTACTCCACAAATAGGTATGCTAGTTTTCTAATAGGCATGTCAATCAATTCTTTAACTTCCTTCTCAGTTATATACCACAAATTAAATAATGTCCCTTCATTAGCTGACAGTTCAATTAGGTCCACCACTAATTTTGTTGAAAGCAAAGAACTGAAAACATTTTGACTTGCAAAACAATTTGTTATCCTGTCATTAGAGACCATCGCTTTCTGGAGTGACATTTAATTATGTAATTACTCTCATTTAGAAGCATTTCGGAAAAGTTGAGAAATTCAAGATAGTGTTAATTTCCACACATCATTAGCACTACAATTTCACTGTAAATATATTTTAGTTGCAGATTTAGCTCAATTCATTGTAAATAATAATTATGCACAGTAGCAACGCCACTCTGTCAATCCAAGTAACCAAGTCAGATTTATCTTCGGTCAGGAAATATTTCACTTGTCAAGTCAAACCAATGTGTTAACAGGCGTCCCCGTGACCACATTTCACTCCTGAATTCCAAGACAGACCTGGCACTGTGCTTTGATCGGAGTTGGTCCCTACATCACGGTAGGCCCTTGCACTTTGCTCCAGAGCACTCTCTCTCTCAGGCAAAATGCCGCCTTGGACTCGCCGGAGGTGGAAGAGGCGAGATTTGGAATGAAAATCTCATCACTACCGCCCATTCTCTAACACGCCTGAATTCAGAATACCCCGACACAGGCCGAAACGCGGCGCTTACAACGCCAGCCTCTCTGTTGACTATCCCTTCAGTCTGAAGGTATCCCGGGATGAACATACCACAATCCGAATAGCATTAGTTAGAGGAATGGCCTCTAGAGCCTGAGACGTCCGCTCCTCCCAGGTTCTTCCCAGCTACTTCGGGGCGGGAGCGGCGGTCCCCTCTGCCTGAGTGCCCGCTCGGCCCCCTACCAGTGGGCTGGTCCTGGCGGGGAAAGACGGCTCAGTTCGCGGCCCAGCAGGGCAAGCCCCGAAGCGAAGAGATAGATGCAACTGCGGATCTGGAAGCTAGAAAGCAGCGCCAGAGGGAAGCCGGAAGCCTCGGCAGGCCCTCCGCAAGGAGCTGAAGGGAAAACATGTTGGTGTGCATCTCAGCGTGACCAGGTCGCGGGCCGGAGCTGGGGTTGGCGGAGGCCGGAACGCGGCGTCAGGGTTTCAGTTCTCCTCGAGTCGGAAGGGCGGGAAGCGGAACGGTCCTTTTCCGGCAGAAACGAGGCGGTCCAAAGAGGCGTGGGCACGGGGAAGACTATCTGTGTCACACTGCCGGCTGCGCGCAGGGCGTGGGATGGGGGTGGCTGTCGGAGCCGGGACGCTCGGAAGGGACGGAAATAGCTGTAACACTGACGGGACGCTCGGAGGGGACGGTGTTGGTGTGGCACTGTTGCACGCTTCAGGAGCCGGCGGAACCCGGTGGCCATGGGGATGTGGGCGTCGCTGGACCCCATGTGGGAGATGCCGGCCGAGAAGCGTATCTTTGGGGCCGTGCTGCTCTTCTCCTGGACCGTGTATCTGTGGGAGACCTTCCTAGCACAGCGGCAGGTGAGCCTACAGAGCGCAGCTAATGCCGACGCCCGGCCAGCTCTAGGCCAGCCATGGTCTCACCCCAAGTCCCTAAATGAGCCTGCGGCCCCAGCACCCAGCCTCGACCCTCTGGAGTCCCTACTGAGCCTCCTCATTTGGCCCGATGGTGGGATTGGCCTTGAGAGGACCCGGGGCCTTGGGCACGTTTTCCGCAACGTGATGGAGGGACTCGGGCGGGTTAGGGCCTGGAAGGGAAAGCAGCCTTACACCTGCCCCACGGCTTCCTTAAGCTCCCCGGGGGGGCTGATCTTTGTGATCTATGGCAGCGATCCATAAGCCTTCAAAGGGAAGATCCTAACATTTTAGAATCACGACTTCCTCATGACTTTTGTACAATCATGCTCAACCATAGAATCAGGAAACCATTTTCTGAAAATAAATCCTTCCGAGGGCCCGAACTCTTTTTCCTTAAAAAATAAAGTTGTTTTTTTTTTTTTGCTCAGTGGATAGAGTGTTGGCCTGCGGACTGAAGGGTCCCAGGTTCGATTCCGGTCAAGGGCATGTACCTGGGTTGCGGGCACATCCCCAGTAGGAGATGTGCAGGAGGCAGCTGATCGATGTTTCTCTCTCATCGATGTTTCTAACTCTCTATCTCTCTCCCTTCCTTTCTGTAAAAAAATCAATAAAATATATTTAAAAAAAAAAAAAAATAAAGTTGTTTTTATTTTTTTGCCCAAAGAACAATCTTTCTTGTTTTTATCAAAAGCTTCTTTATTATTTTTGTTTAAGCAATTAAAACAGTAAAGTAGACATGAAAGTTACTTAGCAGTTCCCGGGCGATGATCATAACAGCTTGATGGACTAGAGATCTGAACTTTTAAATGGGATAGATTTTAAGTTTAGTTGACTGCTTTATTGCCATCTCTCACTGCTGGTTTGCTTTACCTACATTCTTCTGTGTTGTTGCTGAATTGTGTCAGCCAGGATGGCTATGAAAACCTTTTTTTTTTCTTGAGCATTACAGTCTTTTTCCTCTGCAAATTTCTTCTCTCATTTGACATTCTGCATGAATCTTTAAATTGGAACATTTAATTTTTCTATATCTGTCAGTGTTTGGGTTATATCTTGATCTCTTCTTTCAATCCAGAATATTCAAAGAGGCATTAATATGAATAGCATTAGTTTCTCTGACCTAATAGCTCTTTGGATAGCTTCATTAGTTCAGTCTTGTTCGCCTAGAGAAGATACTTTGCAGAAAGGAAGCACACAATATGTAGTATCCAAATTGGGGATGGATTTTGAACATCTCTGTCTTACTTTAATAATAAGCCTATTTCAGTAACTACTTTTCTATAGTGTCTTCTTTACTCAGTTATGCTTTCATGTAGTGCCTTTTAATGAGGGTTTGGTAAAATGCATAACAATAAATAGAGAAGCCATTTGTCATAAAACCACTGTAGAAGATACTGTCCATTATATTGTTCGGTATCTGTTCCTTGTATTATGTCCCATGGGCTTAAAGTATCTTTTAGCATTTGGTTTAACGAGAAAATTTGTCTTTCTTGAAGACCTGATATGTTTGTATCTGTTATTCCTCAAATTTCCCTTAATTTGGCTGCTTGGACCAAATTTAATTACTAGCCACAATATCTGTTAATACTCATGGTTAGCATATTTGGTTCCTTGTCCTTCCCATGAATTTGTTTTCTGTATTATAGGATATATGTTATACCTGAAATGAACGGTATCATTTGTGAAGTTACAGTTTGGGTTTACATATGCAAGCTGAAGTATGATGATAACAACCCTGATTTTAATCTTACATAG